TCACAAGTAAACATGGCAAGCCAATTGGTTAATTTAAATCCTGCTCAGGGTCAGGCATGGTGGTGCACACCTGTAATCCCAGCACTCGGGAGGCTGAGGCTTGAGTATTGTTGTGAGGATCATTGCAAATTCAAGACCAGCCTGGCCTATAAAGTGAGCTCAAGGCCAGCCTGAACTGCATAATGAGACCCTGTCTCAAAAAGACAAAAAAGGGGCCAGGTACAGCGCAGCGGCACAAGTGCCTGGCAAGTGCAAAGTCCTGAGTTCGATTCCCGGTACCAAAAAACAAACAAACAAAAAGACAAAAAACAAAAAACAAAAAAACAAAAACAAACAAACAAAAAACACCCAAAAAATCCTGCTCAGAGCCACTTTACAGTGGCCTCCATCACTTTCCTTTCCTTTCCCTCCTTTCCCCCTTCCTCTTCTTCCCGTTCCTCCCCCTTTTCTCCTTCCTGTGCTGGATACAGAACCCAGGATCACACACGAGAGGCAGATGCTGTCCCACTGAGCTGTAGCCCTGTCCTTCTTTTTTTGAGACAGGGCCTCCCTAAGTTCCCCAGGCTGGCCTGGAATTTGCAATCTTCCTGCCTCCGTCTCCCTAGTAGCTGGGACTATGGTCATGTGCCACCACACCTGGCCACCACTTCCACCCACATGTACCCAGGGACCCGCCTGCCTGGCCTGGCAGCCTGCTCTGTTCTAGCTCCCACCGGCAACTTCCGTCTTCAGCAGTGGCCTCAGTGCAGCTGCTGTGCTCACGGGGTGACTACGTGGCCACCCACGGGTCAAAGTTCCCCATCCCCCACGCTTCTGTCCTTTTTCTCCCCAAACCTACTGTGTCTGCGAGCCAGGCCGTTCAAGCAAATCTCAAGGCCGAGCAATCACTGTGTTCCTTTGCACATGCGGACACCGGGTGTCTGGGGTGCTATGCTTAGCAGCCCCCCAACCCTAGTGGGTGCACTGCGGTTTAACTCAGTTCCCACACCAGCCCCCTGGCTTCGAGCAGGCCCGCAAGACTGCCCCCACTGCAGGTGCCAGCTGCTGGTCCATCCTCAGTTTTTCTGACCCATGGTTACACATCGGGTGTCCGAGGCTCTCCTGATGTTAGAACATTTGCTTGAGGGACTCACAGAACTCAGGGGAGGACGTCACTTTTGTTTCCTGGTTTATGACAAAAAGCAGACAACTCAGGAACAGCCAAGTGAGCCGTGCCAGAGCATCTTGGGCTGCTAGCTGCAGGACCTCCGCAGCCTCGGCCTCCTGGGGTCCGTCACATCCGGTTGTTCCAGTGTCTCCAGCGCTCACTGGAGCTTCATCTCCAGCCCTGCCCTGCCCTGAGGTCGGTGGGGGTACTGAAAGTCCCAGTCTTCTGGTCACCTGGTCTTTCTGGTGACAGGGCCCCTTCCTCAGACCTTCTGGGGGCCCCGTGCTAGGTTACCTCATCGGCATAAACCCAGGTATGATCCGAAAGACGTCATTATGAATTACAAAACACACTCCTCAGGAAATCCCATGGGTTTCGGGAGTTCTGTGCCAGGAACCAGGGACAAACAGTTCCCTAACCTGTGCCCGGGTTTGTGCAGGCCAGGGAGTTGGGTTTGTTTGCTGCGGTAGGGCGTGTGTCTGACCCTGACAGGCAGGCCGGAGGGTTCCAAAGTGCAGCCACCGTGAAACTGAGCTGGGCTGGCACCTCTCCATGGCACAATCTCTCCGTATCATATCTAGAACATAACAGATAGCAGTGTCCACGGCCAGGTTGGCAGGAGGAGGTTGAGAGCACTCCGAGGGTGTTTGCTGTCCTGGCGCAGGACGCTCTCGGCGAACGCTTCTGGGAGCTGAAGGGATGGCGGGAACCCCACTCTGCGCAGCCCTCCGGGTCCAGGCTCTGAGCCCCTGGGCCCAGCTCCCCTCTGCTTCTACCTCCCTGTGCATGGCGGGGCTCAAACTACGTCATTTCACTTTAAAACATCCCTGAGGAAGTGACCTTTGCCTCCCAGAGATCATTTCCAGAGGCAATCTGATAGGGTGCTGCCAGCCCCGAGGTTTATGACCTGCCCTGACTTGCCCTGCGTAGGGCAGCCCCTCACACCTTTGCTCCATACATCACACCCGGGTTCTCAGCACCTTGGTCTGGGTCAAGGGGCTCCATGCCCCCTGGCAGCCATGGGCAGCAAGAAAGAAGAAAGAGAGGGAAGTCAGAGGTGTCTCCTTGGAATACTAGGCAGCCGAGGCTTCTGCACCAACCCCCGTTTCTGTGCTGGGCCCAGGGCTTTGACCCTGCTGGGCTGTCATGGGACGAGGCATGTGGCCAGGGGCTGAGTTGAAGGGCACCCAGCCTTCCAAGTGCGCTCTCTTAGCTGTGGGCTGTTGCAGGTTGGTGGTTCAGGAGCCAGATGCCAGGACAAAAGGCCGTAAGCAGCTGCTGTCCTCATCACTGGGTCCCCTGGAGCCACATGCCAATGGGGAGGGTCAAGGCTGGGGGCATCCAGGTGATCCCTTTGCTGACCACCAAGCCCTGCTGCCTCACAGTACAAATTACACACTGGATGCTTCCAGAGCCAGGTCTGGCCATGGACACCCAGGACTCTGTCTTCTACAAAACTCCTAGGCCACTGGCCTTACCCAACACTACGCTACCCTCCTGAGTGTGCCCCGGATCCCACAGACAGCTGCACTCTAAGGAAGAAGCCAATCGGCCCTCGCCAGGTCTAACCTCACTGGCTCCTAGCTGCCTGGAGTTGGGGATTTTGAGGGGACGTGCATTCACTCAACAGAGCTGCGCATGCCTGGTGTGGGGTTGCTGCTGGGTGCACGTTAGCAAATAAGAGACCAGGGCTGGCGGGCAGCATGGTGGCAAAGAGAATGCCAAGCATTTGCAGGGCCCTGGATTTCACCCTCAGCACCACAGAATAAAACCCTAAACAAATGGATATGTGAACCCCCCCCTCGCCCATCAGCCCAGATGTGCAGGGTGGCAGAGGAGGAACACATGGACACCAACACTCATGTGCCGACAGCAAGCTCAGGAGGGGTTGGAGATGACAGGGAGGGAGCCCCTGACACAGGATGGGGGGGCCCTGTGAGCTAGTGACACAGATCAGTGCCGACGAATGCCTCTTTCCTACCTCATCAAGACTACCGCATAGTTATTAAGACTAATTAAGGTAACTGTGTTTGAAAATCAGCCAGGCATTGTGGCACAGGCCTGTCATCCCAGCACCCTGGGAGGCTGAAGCAGAAAGGTTGCCAAGTTCAAGCTCACACCCAACCCTGGGCTACCTGGCAACTTAATGAGACTGTCTCAAAAAAAAAGAAGAAAGAAAAAAGGAAAAACCCCCACGATGAGGCCTTTGTCTTTGTGTGTGGCCTGCCCAAGGCTGCACGGCCCCAGACCCTTGTATCAGATCACAATGAACCTGGACGAGATAAGAGCTGGCAGCTACATTCTTTTCCCAGCAGGGACCCATTGGGAGAGTGGCCATGGCTGAAGCCAGCAGCGCCCCCTGGAGGTCATTTTGGTACAAGGTGGGGTGGTGTTTGGGCTGGGGGCTAAGGTCATCAGCACAGCACGCTCTATGGAAGGTTCTAGAATCTTTTCTCTTGGGCAGGTGTGGAAGCACATGGGGAGACATCAGTGAGTGATGGGGGTGGAGGTCTGATCTAAAGCCCGGGTGCTCAGCTGCTGGGTTGTCCCATTTCCTGTGTCCTTTACTGCTCTACTTCTATGCCTGACCCGAGTTTTGGGGTGACAGGGGCTGGGGAAGCCCAGGTGCAGTCCAGGGAACAAGCGTGTGGTGACCTGCCTGGCGCAGGCGGCCGCTGTTGGCACTTCTGTGGCTGAGCACGGTATGAAGTGCGGATGAGCACAACTCAAAGGGTTCGGAGTGCGCACCCCAGAAGGAACCCAGAAGACTGGGGAGGGGACAGGATGGGTCCAGGGCTCTGGAGCTGGGCTTGCAGACAGCACCAGATGCAGAGCAGACATTTGTCAGAACTTGTAAAGTGCACAGCACCCCTCAGGCTCTGTGGACAGCCTTCCTGCTCCAGGGTCCCCACAGCTCAAGTGGCGCCCTAGGGCCTGAGGCTCCTCCCTTTAGGAGGCTGGGGTCCTGGGGCCAGCAGGGCACTGCCCCCTGCTGCACACGGAGGGTACTGCAGGTAATCAGCCAGCGCCCAGCAGCACCCAACACAGAGGTCTCCCGGTAGGTGTTCCAGATCTCAGAGCGGCTCAAGTGCTCCTGGGTCACAGGGAGGAAAATACTCACCACAGCTTGACCCCAGCTTCTACTCTCACAGGGGAGCCCTGGCTCTTCTCTTGGACGGCCTGTCTCCACCAATGCTCCAACTCGGGTGCCTGGTTCAGCCGAGCCCCTCTGCCAACTCCTTTCTCTGGGCTGATTCCCTTGGCCACTCAGGGCTCCTGACCTTGTCCTAACTTCCCTGTATTAGCTTCCCGGCAGGGCCTCCCTGAGACCTGCCCAACCCACACGGTTGCTGCCACTGCCAGGATCAAGTTCAAAACTCATGGGAACGTTGGGGGCCGCAGCCAGTCCCCGGCAGGTGCTGCGCCTTCCCTTGGGCCATCCTCCTTGTCCTGGGCCTCGGCCTCCCCTGCCCTCCCGGCTGCCTGCCATGCTGCTCTGCCCAAGCACCACCTGCTCCACCAGGACACAGGCAGGGACGCAGCACCGACGGCCCGGTCGGAACTGCAGCCAGGGACGAGTGTGTCTGGGAAACTCAGAGATGGATCTTGCTCCTGGTTTTCCCCCCCTCATCCTGAAGTGGAATCCAGGCTGTGCCTCTCTTAACATGCACTCTCCAGCCCCCGCTGTGTCTTCCGCTGCCCCAGGGTGGAGGCTGCCAAGAATAGTGTTTTCTCTCCTACACACGTGTCCACGCGGGCCAGGGGGCCGCGCCTGCCATTCTTCCAGGGCTCCTTTCTCTGGCTCAGGAAGCATCTGCTCATACAAGTTTTTCTGTTGAACAAAGATCAACCATCTTGGAAAATAGGAGTTTATTCCCCCACCTCCCTCGCGCTACTGAGGAATGAAGGAACCCTGGGTCTTCACACTGAGTGAAGTGTGAAGGTTCTGTCCCTTCACACAGCCAGCCCTTTTTATTCGGAGACAGGGTCTTGCGAAGTCAGCAACTTGCCCGGGCTGGGCTCAGACTTCCCATCCTCCTGCCTCGGTCTCCCAGAGTGCTGGGGTCACAGGTGTGTGCCGTCGTGCCCAGCTCGTTTTAGACTTAGGCGCTGGCCCGGGGATCACTGCAAACACGGAGCAATCTCAATGGTGTTAATCCGGAGGATGGTCTGGGGGTTCACGATAACTGGAAAAGAAAACATGGCCACAGGCTTGACCAGATCCGGTCCACTGTTTCGAGGGCTGTGACGCTCGGCGCTGCTGGCCGTGTCCACAGAGACCCCGCCTTGGCACCAGCTCGCCTTGAGGGCGCAGCCCTCCTCCCAGCCAGCGTGGGCCCCTCAATGCCCCGCGCCCCGCGTCACCAAGGTGTGCACTGCCTGCCCGGCTCACCGGCTCCACACGCGGCTCTGAGGCTGGAAGGCCACAGGCCTCCAGGCAAGGTACCCACTCCTGCCGGTCCACTGAGGCCTCTGGACTTGGATGGGAAGGAGCTCAGGGCTCATTCTAAAGCTTCCTGGGAATGCAAGGGACAGGAACGGCTCCCGCCCGCACAGTCCGACCTGTTCCTTGTGGGCTCCATGTAACTACGCCCCACTGCTAGTGGCCAGCTGTTGTAACCGAGAGCTGAGTGACACAAATCACCAGGGACAGCATTCTGTAGCAGGTCAAGCACAATGCAGCGAGTGAGGCCAGACCCATTGGGTGAGCCCTCCAGGATGAGACGGGGAGAGGGGCTGTGGTGCTGGATGCAGCTGCCCCTCTGATGGGCAGGAAACCAGGAGAGGGCCAGGGGCCTTCACGCGCCCTCCTGCAGAAAGCTGGCACTCACTACCCCCACCCCCACAGCACTCACACCACACCAGGCCACTGCAGGGGCACCAGCTCCAAGCATGGCATCACCTCACGAGCACCACAGAGGGTCCCTCGTGAGCCCAGGCTGGCCACCATCCTGGGAACGCCCCCACTGACCTGTCACTCAGCTTCCATCTGTGTGCCCAGGCTCTGTAGTACCCCAGGACTCCGGCCTGCCCACCTCTGTGGCTCCTCGCTCCCCCTACAGCTGGGCTTTGGCCGTTGCTCACTCTGCCATCACCTGTGTCCAGAACCAGGTCTGGGCTGGCTGCCACAGGCCCCTCCCACGGGTACCCGGGTGCTTCCAACTGCATCCTCTCTGCGGCCCCCTGGATGCTGCTGCCCTCGGGCTGGGGGGAGTCCCCACCCGGGCCCTGTGGCCCCCTCAGTTTCCTCTCCCTCCAGTCTCCAAACAAAAGGCCCCACTACTCATAACAGCCAGTCTGGCACCTAGTCTGGCATCCATGCTGGCCTCGGCCTGTACCTTCCCGCCCACTGTCCGTGAGCGCCCTCAGGACACTGTGCTTGGTTGGCTCCATCTCACTGTGGGTGCGCTTATTCCTGAAAGATTCAATGTGGGCTGCGGTATAGCTCAGTGGCAGAGCAGGCACGAGGCTCTGGGATGGACAACAGTAATGCATGAAAATTTAAAGTGACGTCGGTAAGGTAAAATAATACATGGACCGCTGTGACCTGACTGGCTAACTGGGAAATGAGGGCTCATGGGCTGAGCATCTCAGCAGCCTGTTCCACTGCTGCCCTGCAGAGGTCACCACAGCCAAGTTTTCTGGGCTTACTCCTCTCCCTTTAAAACCTCTAGTACACCTGGGCACATATATGTGTGTGTGCCCCAAAGTGTAACTTCTGCTTATCACTAAGTTTTATTTCTTCCTTTTTGCAGTACTGAGGACTGATCCCAGGACACTTGCACTGAGCTACATCCCAGTCCTTTTTTTATTTTTTGAGACAGGGTCCCACTAAGTTATCTAGGCTGGCCTCAAACTTCATATCCTCCTGCCTCAGTATTCCAAGTAGTGTTTGGTACTGTTAGGCAAGGTAAGTTATCAATGAGCTACACCCCCAACCCAGGGGTTTGGCACTGTTGCTGTTTATATCTGTACCCCCCCCCCCCCCCCGTGCTCAAATCAGGGCTTTTGATAGGTGACTGACTCATTGGGGTGCTATACCTAAGTGTGATGTTACGAGGCTGGGGCTGGGGGAAGGGGTTGACGTGGAAGCAGGTAGCGGGTTCCCTTAGCTCTCTGCTTCCTGGCTCCTTGATGTGAACAGAGATCCTCCCCTATGCTCCTCTGCCCTGCCATCCTGCTCCGAGCCAGTGGCCTACAGATGGCAACAGTGAGCCAAAATAAACCTCTCCTTTCAGCTGTGAGTGTCAGCTATCAGTCCCAGCAACAAGGACAGTGACTGGCTGAACCCCGGAAGACGGCCCTGTCCTGTCTGTCGTAAGCTAACCCCAGCCCTGCTGCAGGGGCACCGGGCAGTTTCTCCTCTGCTCTGCTGGACACCACTCCACCCAGAGAACATCCCCACCCGAGGGTCCGGTCTCCAGGGCGGACATCTGAATCACTTCCACTTTCCAGCATGGCCCGAGAGGCCCCCGACGTCTCTCACACGTCCCGTGCTGCACGCACGCTGCGCCACAGTGGAGGCGAAAGGTCACGGTTACTACAGGGATCGGCAGGCTGGGCAGTGAGCGCGTCCTCACCCATCCATCCAGCCCCAGGGGCAAGACACAGGGCACACAGTCTCTCACTTACTTTTCTTCTTCCTGTAGTTTTTCCTCTTCTTAAATTTCATGTTGATTTTTGGCCATGATTCTGTCTTTTCAATGACTGTGGCTTCAACTCGAACAAGATCCTTTCTGGGAGGAAGAAAAATAAACAGTGGTGAATCTTATTATTTTCCCATTTCTTTTCTCCCCAGTGCTGGAGATTGAACTCAGGCCCTTTGGTATGCTACGCAAGCACTGTACCACTGAGCTACACCCTGGCCCTAACTTTCAGTTTTACTAATGTCTTACTAAACTTCCTGTGAGGATTCTTAAAATGAAGTTTTACCTTTCTTTTTGATTATGCAGTACAAACAATATGCCCTCACTGTAAACATTTTGAAAACTACAAAAAAAAAAAAGCACAACAAAGAACAGTTCTTTGCCAAAACATTCTTAAAGGCTGTAATGTAATAAATTAGTAGCAGACTGATAGCCTGGCCTGGTTGACTCCTCGAGGGACACTAAATATCCACTGCTATAACGCAGGAAACTGCTGTGCTCAGTGCTGTCGTGGGGGTGCGTGTCTGCCTCCACCCGCCCCGACAGCACTGGCTGCAGCCTGCATATCCGGCCCTAATCATCCCGGTGTCCAGCAGTGCATTACCCAAGGAGTGGCTTGCCAAGCAGCGTGAAGTTGTCTGCTCCAACCAGCAGGACCTGAAAAATACACAAGGAGCATTTCATCAGCAGCTTGTTATTAGAGTAATATACAAGCCACCAAGAACAGGAAGCCATGTGAACACATCTCAAAGTTAAGGACCCTCGGTGACCTGAATGTGGCACATTGCAGTGAGGATTGGATCTGCTATACAAGGAATTATTACCATTAAAGAGGTGGGGATTCCCGCCAGCAGGAGAGGGGGCTATCTTACGTAAATACCCTGGGGGCCCTCAGAGGAAGGGTACATACGTTTTGATTATTGGATGCTATGGTTGTGCAGCTAGAACTACTAACCTCCTAGTTGTTTGTTTGTTTATTTATTTATTGTTTTTTTTTTTCTGGTACTGGGAATTGAACTCACGACCTCGCTAAGCTAAATCCCCAGCCCCTTGTTTATTTATTTTTGGGAGATGCCAGGAATTGAACTCAGCACCTTGCACTTGCCAGGCACGCACTTATGCTGCTGAGCTATATCCTCAGCCTAACTTCTTATTTAAATTGTACTTTATTAAAAACAAAACGAAACTATGGTGTCTTTGGAAGAGTTCACAATAATGCTAATAGTGTAAAGATACAGGTTCAACTGTATTCCTTGTTTTTTGCAGGGGGGTAGTACTGGGGATTGAACTCTGAGCCTCCTGCACACGAGGAAGTACTCTACCTTTGCCATTCCTTTTAAAACAAATTAAAAGACAGGGTCCTACCACATTGTACAGGCTGGCTTCAAACTTGTGATTCTCCTATCTCAGCTTCCCACATAGTTGGGGTTACAGGCATGCACTACCATGCCTGGCAAATGTATTCCTCTCCCTCTCTCCCTCTCTCCCTTCCTTCCTTGTCTTTTTGAGACAGGGTCTCACTATGCAGTTCAGACTGGCCTCGAGCTCACTTTGTAGCCCAGGCTGGTCTTGAACTCGCAGTGATCCTTCTGCCTCAGCCTCCCAAGTGCTGGGATTAGAGGCATATGCCAAAATACCCAGCAATCATTCATTTTTTCAGATAGTGTCTCATTATGCAATTCAGGCTGGCCTCAAACTTGTAATGATCCTTCTGCCTCAGCCTCCTGAGTGCTGGGGTTATAGGAGTGAGCCATCAAGCCTGGCTCATTCATTGATTTACTTAGAGACAGGGTCTCACTATATAGCCCAGGCTGGCCTGAAACTTGTAGCAATCCTCCTGCCTCACTCTCCCACGTGCTAGGATTATAACGTATGTCACTATGCCCAGCTTGTATTCTTTTAATGACTAAATTCCACACAAGCAGGCAAACATTCTCTGCACCGGGAAAACTGTAACACTAATCTGCTTCTACAGAATTTTAGTAAGACCAGGGGCTGAGGATTTAGCACAGCGGCACAGCCTGGCAAGCGCCAGGTCATGAGTTCAATACCTGATACCGGAAAAAAACCAAGAACCAAAAAATAAAAAAATAAAAAAAAAGAATTTAGTAAGACCCTGTGTCAAAATGAAATAAAAAGGGCTCGGGGTATAGTGCAGGGAACAGCACTTGCTTAACATATGTGAGGTCCTGCGTTCCATCCCCAGAACTGCAAATCAGCAACAGCAACAACAAATAAAATGAAAACATCTTTGTACTGCAAGTGCAATAATGTTTTCATCAGATATCAGAAGACTTCCTCACATTTTACTGTGAGAAAAAAATCCAGTCATACTAAAACGTCTAAGGACAAAAGAACATCAACAAGTGATGCATATTTGGTAAGGAGAATAATTCTTTTGAGGGGGAGCAAGACTGGGGCTAGAACCCAGGTCTTCATACACACTAGGCCAAAATACACACACACACACACACACACATTAGAGTTAATTTGTGCATGAAATATTTTGTACTTCAGGATTTGCTAAGTTACGGAAAACAAGCTACGTTAGGTGAGGCTTTCTATAATTTTTAGTTAATGTGAAATGTTTCAAGATACAGTACGCTTGGGTTTGTGTTTGAGATTGAACCACAGATTCAACCAAGTGTGGAATGAATGTATTTGAAAAAACAAAAACAAAAACATAAAACCCTCAACCCTACTAAACACACACGCCTATTATTCTCAGAACAATATGGAACCCTCACTACTTACACAGCACTCAGAGGCGTGGAGCTGGGAATCAGTAGAGCGTGGGAGGGTGTTTGTGGGCGCTCTGCAAACACTGCCATCTCACTGTGGGCCCGCTGGGGCCCTGGAACCAACCTCCTCTCATATACGTACTGAGAAGTAGCTGTAATGTCTTTTGAAAAATCTTGCTATACTACTGTGTCCCCAAGGTGAATATATTCATTAAGTATAACAAACACGTACAAATACAGAATAAAAAAAGAAAAAGAGAAAAATGCACTATTGTATGTCCTACTTATTTTTGGTTTTTGGTGATGGAGGCCTGGGGCCTGAGCATGCTAAGCATAGTCTTCCACTGATCTGCACTCCCAGCCTGAGCACATTCATTTCTTAAGGTCTAAAATAAGGACTGGGCATCATGGTATACATTACCAGCCTGGAATCTCAGCACTCTGGAGGCTGACGTGGGAAGATTTCAAGTTTGAGGCGGCCAGCCTGAGATACACAGTAAGGAGTAAGGCAGCAAATGTTTAGCTCAGAGGTCTGATCCCCAGTACCAAAAAGATAATGGACAGAATCACATATATTGCTTTTTTTTTGAGACAGGGTTTCACTATGCAGTTCAGGCCGGCCTTAAACTCACTTTGTAGCCCAGGCTGGCCTTGAACTTGCATCAATCCTCCTGCCTCAGCCTCCAGAGTGCTGGGATTATAGACATGCATCACCATGCCTGGTTATATTGCTTTTAAAATTAAGTATGTCTTGAAAAATTGCAGGGGTTGTTATAATGTTATAAATAGAGAAGGCAAAAATAAAACAGACCTCCGAACACAGCATCAGAATTGTAAGTGAAGGCCGGGTCCGGTCAGCTAACCTGGGAGACCAGTGGTGTTGGGTGGCTGACAAGCACCCGGGGAAAAGCCCCAAGCTGCTCCCATAGTTTAACAAGAGCAGCCATCAAATCTGATGCCACAGCAGTGCTTTACCAGACATTTACCACTTTATCCCATGAGTGGGGTCTGAAAAACTCAATCCTTATCTGAGATTATCTGAGATTTTCTATACTCGTGATCAAACATTCTGCTATGGGAATCGATTAATGAGATATCCCAAGGCAAAGCAAAGGACATATTTTCATCCTCGGAGAAACTGTGCTGTTTCCCTTGAAGGAGCCAATCTGCGGGGCTGGGTGCTGTCCGTCCTCGAAGAGCAGCCTGCTCCCCTGCACCCTGCTGCCCTGCCCAGCCCAGTGGCCTCCATCACAGAGTTGGGGACACTCCCTGGTGATGGAGTGGGGCGTGGGGACTGCTCGTTTGGTTACCTAACCCGAGGACAGAGCCATGCGACAGCCTCACCTTCTCCAGCCTGATCCGCTCTCCGCACTTGATATCTAAGTCATTTTCAATTAGGATCAGGTCTTCAGGGGTCACTTTCCACTGGTGGCTGGCGAAGTGCACAACAGCAAACAGCCGGCCATACTGGCCCGTGGCGATCAGCTCGTTCACCTTCTTCACAACCTCTGCGGGGGAAGCAGCGGCGGTCAGCCCAGCTGCAGAGGCGCTGCCACCTCACCCTGGCCCGCCAGCCGCTCTCCACTGCAGGGCTCCGGGGCTCCAGCCCCTGCAGCACACCCTTCAGCACATGTGCCCTGCGTGGGTCAGGAATACTGAGCCGGGACAGTGGCAGCTAGGCACGTGGAGCCTGATGGATGGCAGCCCTGTCAGCCTTCACAGCAGGCCTGAATTGCCTCTGGGGACGTTCTGGCCTGACACTCAGCATGCCTGGCTGCGTTCCTACAGCTTGGTGGGGAAGAGCCCCCATCTTGTGCAGTTGTGTTTGTTACTAATAAGGAGCCAGTGGGCTGGGGAGTGTGCAAACCCTGGAGGTGGATGGAGACGTCTGCGCACCCAGTGTTATATCCCGATGGGCTGGGCAGAGTCTCCTGTACGCCTCCCACATGGCCTTCTCTGCTTCTGTCGCTGCTCCTCATTCTGGTCACAGTTCCCCCCCCACTCTGCACCCGCGGCTCTGAACAGATGCCCACTGGGCACCAAAGCCCGGCCTGGCCTAGGGCCAGGCACCCAGGAGGGACCTGACAGCTCCCGCCAGGAAGCGGAGTCAAAGCCAGGAACTGCACTGGGCAGCAAGGGTGGAACTCTTGAAACACAGCTGCTCACCTGTGTTCCTGGGTTCTGCACCACAGGTCCAACCACTCTCAGACTGAAGGTACCGTACTCAGAAGGAAACTGTGCCTGCACTGATCATGTAACAGACTTCCGTGTCATAATCCTCTAAACAGTACAGGACAACTATTTATGGCATTTCCATTGTATTAGTAATCTAGAGATGATTTCAAGTATACATGAGGATGAGTGTAGGTTATTTGCAAATATTTTGCTTGTTTTAAAATTTTCTTTTTTTTGCAGTATTGGGATCGAAGCCAAGGGCTCACACATGCTAGGCAAGTACTCTACAACTGCTCTATCCCCAATCCCCTTTTATTGTTTTAAGAAAGGCTGTCTCAATTCCCAGTACCAAAAACAAAAACAAAAAAGCAAAAAAAAACAAAAATAAAGGGTGCTCGGGAGGCTCAGGCAGGAGGATCATTGCGAGTTTGAGGCCAGCCTGGGCTACAAAGTGAGTTCAAGACCAGCCTGAACTGTATACCTAGACCCTGTCTCAAAAAGACAAAAACAAACAAACAAACAAACAAAAAAACCAAAAAAACCAAAAGGGTCTTACTAAATTGCTTAGGCTAGGCTTGAACTTGTGATCCTCTTGCCCCAGTCTCACGAGTGGCTGGGTTACAGGTGTGCACCACCACGCCCAGGGACTGCCATTTTGTAGAATTGAGCACCTGGATTTTAGCATCAGGAATTCCTGGAGCCATCTCCAATGGGTACTGAGGGGTGACTGTATATACCTTGAACAGTATGTGGAACGGTATTTTAAATACTAGAAGATCCTACTCCATATCATGGAATTCCAGCTTTTTGGAAAAGTGAGGATCCAGCTCTCCCACACAGCTGCGGTGGCTGACCCTCCTCCTCATACGGCTGTAGGCTGCACCATTCCCAGCAGCGTAACATTTCTCCAGGGTCTAGGGCAGGTCAGCACGCCTGCCAGTCGTGGCCGACAGGGATGAGCTGAGCCCCACCTACCCTGCCCCTATTACTGCCAGCAGCATGGCTGAGGCTTGAGGGCTCTTTGCTAAATGAAAGAGCTTTTTTTTTTTTTTTTTTGCCTTTTTGAGGCAGGATCTCACTATGCAGTTCAGGCTGGCCTTGAGCTCATTTTGTAGCCCAGGCTGGTCTTGAACTTGCATCGATCCTTCTGCCTCAGCCTCCTAAGTGCTGGGATTACAGGCGTGTGCCACCACGCCTAGCAATGGAAGAGCATTTTAAATTTTAGTGTTACTACAAAATGAACATGGGGGTTTACATGGAATACCCAATCCTGCCACGTGAGAGTCACCACCACAGTGGCTGGCTGCAGCAGGGTGCCCGATGGCATGCTCTGATTGCCACCCCCTGAAACGTCTTTACCTGTGTGGTATCTGGTCTCCTCAGCTGGGTCTGGCAAAACAACTTCTGGCCAAGGTGGAGAACTCAGGGATGTTTTAGGAACGTATCTGTAAAAAACATGTCATAAACACAAGTCACATGCCTGTGAAAGACTGCTCAGAGTCCCTAAGACATAGCTTGCACTAGGTGACAGAAGGGCAAAGATTTGAGTGCCCAACTCAGGCCCTACATGTTCGTTGCACCTGCCAGGGATGCTGCCTCACAGCCGAGGTGAGCCATCCTCTGGCACACACAGAACAGGCCCGGGTGCTGGGGGACTTGGTGTGAGTGTGTACGTGTGTGCACAGCTTGCGACTGAGAGGATGAAGGACGTGGGCAAAGCCAATGCTGGCTCCTTAGGCTCTTGCCCGCCTTTGGTGTCATCCCGAGGACAGGTTCCTGTGTGACGCCCTAGAACTGCAAGGCATTCCAAGCACAGTGGCTAAGTGGCCACTAGTAACGGGTTCTGAGCACCACATTGCACAGGGAACCGAGGCTGGGCTGTCTGTGGCGCTCTCTGGCATGCAGATGTGCTCTGTCTACAGCTGTAAAACAAACGGACCTTTCCTACCCTCTAGGCCTCACAGCCCCTAGGAGCACAAACTCTGCTCTGCTGCCCAGCAGTGACTACGAGAGACCGAGAAGAGCCGGAAGGCGCTGCTGACTACTCTGCCCACATGTACTGTCTCTGTGACTGGGTGCGGCCACGCCCGATGAAGGCCGTGAAAGATCCATGGGAAGAACATGGGGGAACGGTGCCTGGCAGCAAGGCTGGGGCCTCTCACCTAGGAAATGAGAAAAAAGCCGCTTGGGATTTCTTCCTATTTTCAGATTCAGTTTTTCAACTTCTCCTTGTTGAAGCAAACAGTTTCTTATGTCCCCCAGTGCTTAGAATCCTGGTGCAGCCAGCAATTTCTGCTGGAGCTATATGTCAGGTGCTATACTGAGCTTATTTACTTATTGTTCCTGCAGTGTTAGGGACTGAACCCAGGGCCTTGTGCCTGCTGGACAAGTGTCCTCCCACCAAACCACATGCCCGGCTCTTGTGACCTTTAAATGTCTGCCTTTGCTGAATTCTTACCAGGCTGCATGGAAAGAGGCACCCACACTGCCTCACCCGGCAGGAGCTGAGCGAGGGCCTGCACCTGGCTGGGTGGCACTGGCTGTGGGGCATGGCAGCGCTGGACCTGGGGGCTTCCTACTGGCCTTTTTATCCTGTGCTGCTCCTGGGTCTTCCTACTGGTGTGATTTTGTCCAACTTACTTCTGCAGTTTATATTAAAAATTATTTTCTAAGTTTGAAATTCTAACAATGAAACGACTTTTTTGAATTATGTAAGTTTTCCTAAGAGATTATTATTATTATTATTATTATTGTCTTTTTGAGACAGGGTTTTGCTATGCACTGCAGGTTGGCCTTGAACTCACTTTGTAGCGAGGCTGGCCTCGAACTCACAGTGATCCTCTTGCCTGATACTCCTGCCTCAGCCTCCCGAGTGCTGGGATTACAGGCATGAGCTACCACGCCCGGCTCCCTAAAGATTCTTGCAACTCAAATTTCTTGGTCTGAAATCCCGAATTGAGAAATAAAGCTGTCTGTGATGAGAGCTGGCAATGTAGGCCAGGGACATCTTTCTTTCCATGGAGTCCCGCAGTTTTGTCTATACTGAAGGGTCTGAGAAAAATATTGTCAAAAAGTTGTAAGAAAATTTGAACATTCTCAAACTCCCAAATGTAGAGCCAGGCACGATGGTGCACACCTGTAATTCTAGCTACTCAGGAGCCTGAGTCAGGAGGACTACAAGCCTGTGGACAGCTTGGGCAACTTAGAGAGACCCTGTCTTAAAATTAAAAAAAAAGGGCTGGAGAAATTTTTTGGTGGTTGAGCACCCCTGGGCTTGATCCCCAATATTGTAAAGCAAAAGAGAACAAACTAAATTTAAATGTAAGAAGTTTTGAATTACGCAAGTTCTACACATGAAAGGAAAAGAGTCACTAGACCCACATTTTGATATTACCCTGGCGAAAATGAAGCTCTCTGCGAACTGAAGCTCCGAGCAGCAGACCAGAGGGAGGCTGAGGGAACAGGAGAAACACGGTCATTACTACCACAAAATGCAGACGCCCCTCATGATGGTGATACACAGTCTGTTAGCTTGCTTAAGAAAAATCCAGGCAAACAAGCAAAAGAGCTTCACTTAAGAGTCACTGGCTGTGCGCGTCAGGATTGTGTACACACCATCCAACAGTGTCTACAGCCAGAACCAACCCTATATACCCCTTCCAGGACCACCAGGCACACACTAGGTCCAGACCCTGTGAGTGGTGCCAAGTGTGGGTGCAGCCCGTAAGAGGAAGCCCTGCCCCATGTTATCATGCATGAGCCAGCCCTGCCGCAGCTGCTCTCTGTGACCAACAGCTTATAGCAGAAAGCTTCCAAGACTAGGTTCTGAAAGACTGCAACTTCCGTTCTGTCTGTAGTTCCCTCTACTCTGGCTGTAGGCACTGCCATACTACAGTCTTGGGAGCTTTCTGCTATAAGCTGTCGGTCACAGAATAGCCCTATGCACAGGCCCATGTGGTGAGGAATTGGGCATGGGCAGCACCCACAAGTGAGCTTACAAGTTGGTTCTCAGGCCTTGCGGAGCCTTGAGTGATCGCAGGTCCAGCTGACCTGCCCAACTACACTCTAGTGAGAGACCTGAGCCAGGGGCATCCAGCTCGCTGCTCCCTGATCCTCAGAAACTGTGTGTGCTAAGAAATGGTTGTTGTCTTAACCTGCTAAATTTTGGAGCAATAGGTTATGGTGCGGTAAATAACATACCAAATGACAAAAAAGTCCCCATTCTACTGAGAAGGGCTCAGAGTGAAAATGCATAGTAACACAGGTGAAAAGCAGAAAGCAGATTTCTCAATAATTACTGTTTTTTAAAAAGTTGAGCTGTAATTTTTCTACTCGGAAATTCACCTTTTTTCTTTTAGTTCACCATTTCAAAGCTGGTTGGTCCCCATTCTGTCTCCCTGGCTGGTCTCTCCTTTCCCTCTCCGAAGCCTATGACTTAGCCCTTGGGCTTCACCTCTTCTCTCTGGTGATTCCTCCAGTGATTGCAGTATCAGGTGGGTCCTTTATGTGCTGGTGACTCCTGAGTTTATCCTCCAGCCTGGACTTCATGCCTGGCCCTCCCAACCACCTATGTGGCATCGCCACCTCTATCTGGTGGGTATCGCACACCAAACAAGGCTAAGATCTCTTCCTACACATGCTTTTCCCATGCTCCTCCCCATTGCACAGGACGCCAAATCAGACTAGCACAGCTCAGGCTCCAAACTGCCATTATTTACAATCATTCTCTCTCACACCCCTACGGCAATCTATCAGCAAACCTGGTGGCTCTCCCTGCAGGGAGCCCAGGAGCTAACCACTTACTGATTTCAGAGAGGCCATCACCTTCTCTCACCTGGATTAGGACAAATGCGCGGTTCTCGATCTCACCTCCCTTCTCTAACCAGCAGCTAATGACTGTTGGAACTTCGGTCAGATCGCGTCACTAGTCTGCTGAAACTATGCAGGAGCCGCTCCACTCAGTGAAAACACCACAACCCTTACAGTGGCCTCCAGGGCGGGGCCGCACACAGGTGAGAGTTACAGGGAAGCAGATCGGGTGCACAAATGTGCTGCGCTTTCAGCAGTGCAAGGCTGAGGTCCTGGAGCGTTTCAACAGAGGCTTCATCTGATGCCTTAGAAAAATTTCATTCATTCACCACTCACTGAGCACCTGCTACGTGTTAAACACCAGCCTAGGGGCGAGCATATACCAGTAGTAAATATAAAACAACAATCCTGCTTTTAGTGAACCTAACGTTCTGACGGTCGGACCTAGACACACATGTGGCGGAGCGATCGGGAGAACCGTTCTTATCGCTTCTTCACTTCACCGGCCGCCCTGGTCTCACCTGCGCCGGGCCCCGATGGTGTCAAGATGCTGCGGCTGTAAGCACACACCAGCCGCCCCAAGGTGCCCGACAACGCCGAAGAGGCCACGGCCGCCGCCATCTTCCCGTAGCCGGAAGCGGAAGCGACACGACCTTGTGCGCCGACGCACGGGACCGACGTGGAGCGCGAGGGCGGTGGGAAACACGGGTCCGCCCGGCACACCACTTGGCGGTTGCGATGGCTTCGGCCGCCGTGGAGACCTTCGTGGCCAAGCAGTTGTACTTGCTGGAACTCGAGAGGGACGCGGAGGTGGAGGAGCGCAGGTATGGGCTGCCGCGGCGCCCGCCTCACGGGGTCCGTCTCTCTGAGGGGCGTCCGCTCCCCAGTCCTGCTGCGTGGTCACCTGCAAGAATGCAGCTCATCGCCTTCGCGCGGCGGGTTCTGACGGGCCCAGGAAGCCTCTGCCCTCGCCCCGAAATCCTGCTCCCGAACGCACGCCCCTGGGTGCTGGGCTTTCCCAGCCCTCCCCGCCCCCCCAAGTGCTCCGGCCCTTTCCTTTAAAACCGCGTCGCTTGCGCCTGCCCCGTGCCGGAACCCAGCCAGATGAGTAAGGTGCAGGGTCCGCCGTGGACAAGGCTGGGCGGAGGCCAGGTCTGAGCAGAGGGAGAGCCCGCCACCGCGACCCGTGCCAGCTGCGGGAGCGTGCGATCGGGAGGGCTTCCTGGGGCAGGCGGTGCCTGAGCACAGCCCGGAGAAAGGTGCGAGTTTAGCCAGTGGAAGGGGTGGGGAGAGTTCCTGAAGGAGACCTGGGATCCGAGGGAGAGCCGGGCTTTATTCTGGGGAATACCCATTTGCCCGGAGCAAGAAGAGCTAGCACGTCTATGCTTTGGCTGTGTTAATCCTTTTCAACCTCATGCCCGCCCTACGAAGTACGTCATTGTTACTCTTACTGCCTGTCTAAAGAGAGACTGAGACAAACAGGAGCTAAAAAACTTGCCCGGGGTAACACAGGGGGAGTCAGGATTTGAATTCAGGCAGATTCCATACTCAACCCTTGATTTTTGAGAGGCTTTTGAGGAAGAGGGTCAGAGCTTTTGCAGTCGCACGGATCTTAGTAGAAGCCCAGCTCCTCTATCGGTGGCTGTGTGGCCGTGCAGGTATCTCAGCCTTCATCTCCCAAAACCAGGTGATTCCCACCCCACAGGTTTGCTCTGAGAACAAAAGTCAGGTGCTCAGCACAGTACCAGGCGGGCAGAGGAAGCTCCTGTGACCTTGTCTACTTGCTTATCTGTTTCTGACCATGAAGAATAGATAGGGCAGGACCAGCCTGAGAAGGGTCTTGCCAAGGCACTTGTGTTGTATGCTGTGCGGAAACAAGATTAAGCAGTGAGGGAGGTGGCTAGATTGGCTATTTATTCATTCAGACGGGTCGCACTATGTAGTCCAGGCTGGCCTTGAACTCACTATGTACAGGCTGACCTCAAAGTCAGGGCGATTCTCCTGCCTCAGCCTCAAGTGCTGGGATTACAGGTGTGTACCACCATGCCTGGCTAGATCAGCATTTTAGGAGGACCTTTTGACTGCTGTTGCTGGCACTTGGTGGGGAAGCCCAGAGGTAAGGCAGTTAGGCTGTGTTTAGGCCTGGTGAACAGTGATGTGGCCTTGAACCGGGGTAGGGTGTCCAGGATGAGAGGCAGAGAGGGAGTCAGGGTCAAGGGGGCCTGCTAGGACTTAGTGACGACAGACCTTCATCTTTCTTTCCCGGTTCCCTTTCCTATGTGTGTAGAGGTAGAAACAGGAATATAAAAGTCCTGAGGTATCAGTCCTGGGTGTCTTCCAGGTCCTGGCAGGAGAACATCTCTCTGAAGGAGCTGCAGAGCCGGGGCGTGTGTTTGCTGAAGCTGCAGGTGTCCAGCCAGCGCACGGGGCTGTATGGACGGCTGCTGGTCACCTTCGAGCCCAGGAGATGTGGGTCTGTGGCAGTGCTCCCCAGTAACAGCTTCACTTCTGGTATGTGCATTTCTCGACAGTCATGTGCTGGACATTGCTGGCCTTCTGGGGCCTGTGCTCTCCTACAGGCTGAATGGCAGACCCACTGGGACAGTAAAGCATTGCAGTGAAGACCACTTCCTAACAAATCCAGTAATATGAGGGGCCCTTTGGTTGTTCAGATCAGAGCTGTCCAGATGGGGGCTACAGGCTTTGTGGGGTAATGGAACACTTGGCACACAGCTAGGGATTGCTGCGGGTATAAAATACACTCCTGATCTTGCAAATTTAGTTAAAAAAACAGTTGCTAGTATCTCAAGTGTAATTTTTTTCCCTTTGAATTTGCAGTACTGAGAGTTAAACCCAAGGCTTAGTGATGGTAGGCATGTGCTCTAGTGCTAAGCTACATTCCCAGCCCTTTTTAAAGTTTTTAATTTTTATTTATTTATTTATTTTTATTTATTTATTTATTATTTGGAGACAGGGTCTTGCTCTGCAGTTCAGGCTGGCCTTGAGCTCACTTTGTAGCCCAAGCTGGCCTTGAACTCGAAACGATCCTCTGGCCTCAGCCTCCCAAGTGCTGGGATTACAGGTGTGCGTCACCACGCCTCGTATTAATTTTTTTATTTTTGAGGCAAGGTCTTGCTAAAATTGCCCAAGCTGGCTGTGAACTTGCAGTCTTCCTGCCTCTGCCTCCTGAGTAGCTGAGATTTTGGGAATAGGCCACCATCCTCGGCTCAAGAATAATTTTTGAGTACTGTTGGAGTGATGATATTTTTCACGTGTTGGTGTAAGTAAAATTATTAAAAGAGGGCTGGGGATTTAGCTCAGCGGCAAAAAGCGCCTGCCTGGCAAGCGCAAGGTCGTGAGTTCGGTTCCCGGTACCGGAGGAAAAAAAAAAAAAAAAGAAAAAGTAGGATACCAATGCAAGTAAATCACATGACAATGACAAATCAACACATATCAGTTATAACTATAAATGTAAATAGCCTCAATTCTCCAGTTAAAAGAA